GAGCAGTAGAGAAAATCCGATCAGAATGACAAAATAAACTAAGCATCCAACATCATCATCATCATTATTTCGTCATCATTATTATCATCATTGCCTTGCCATACAAACATCATCATATCATTTATCAACAATCAACATCATAATATCATCATAAACAATATCGTCATTATCGCCATCAACATCATCATCATAATACCATCGATGTCATCATAACCACTACCATCATCATCATTGAATTTTCATCGTTGATTCATAGTTAGGCCTAAATGGGAATTTGTTTTATCATAATTTACTATGGTTATTATTTTGAAGTTTGATAGGTGTTGTATTGAAGACATTGATAATTTTCTCAACAGTGGCATGCATTTACAAAATTATTTTCCATAGTATTTCTAAAGGACAACTAAAGTGATCGATCGAGGTAGGCCCAAATGACACCGTCTATAGAAATTAATATATAATGTACCTCTATGAATGATGTCGATGGCCAGCTACTAGTAGCGGATCCAGGAATTCGAAATAGAGGCAGTGGCGGCTCTAAGATACATTTTTTGGGGGCTAGAGCTATTTTATGTATCTCATTTTTTTTTTTTTTTTTTTTTTTTTTTTTTTACAAATAAACCTATTTATTAAAAAATTTCTATCTTATTAGCTCTTGTACTGTAGGTCGGTATTTAAGCGTGGAGGGAAACGCGCGGACAATGAGAGTTTCTACAACCATAGGTGGCGCTTCGCAGGTAAACAACAACACATGGAAGTTACCTGACGTCCTGATGTGCTCTCTGAATTTTTACCTGAAAAATGTAAATAACTGTAGGCCTACGTGTAAAATATTGCTGAATTAGTTAACCCAAATCTGAGTTTGCTGACTATAGCGTTTAGTCGTACAGAGAGTATGTGTAGACTGATATAAATTTACTGTCGCTTTTTAGGCCTAGTCGGTCAGGGCTTCCTAGCCTAGGCCCTTCCTAGGTGATGCATGCACAATACAGTACTGTACAGTACGCTCGCTTATTGTTGAATGCTGGTTTGCCATAGGCCGGAAAAATCAGTTCAGAATTACAGAACAAAACATCATTTAGATTATTTAGAGCAAAGAGAAAGAAGGTAGGCCTAGCTAGGCTATTTGAACTTGAATTTATTCTGCACAAGATTTTGTCTATAGGCCCAATATTATATTTATATAATATAATATATAATATATTATTCTCAGTGGCTGAATTATTACAGTATGATGGTGGTAACACGATCGTATTTCATATATTTTTATTTTGTTTTGGTAGTTCAAATGTTGAGCAACTATACAGTTGGCATGGTTGTCTGCACTTCTCTCTTCATGTAATACTGTTTGGCCTATATATGCATTAATATAAATAAAAGCATTGTTGTATGTTAGCATGTTAAAGTACTGTTCAATCACTATAAGTGTATACACTATTGCGTGTGTTTGTGTTTAGCGAAAGTACTGAACACTATTATTAATTGTGCATGCATCACCAGCATTCCATAAGCCTTATTTATTGGCGGTCATCTGGCTGACAGCTGCTTCGGTCCTACTCCATATTCCACTCCCATTGTATCACATTCCAGGTGGGTCGGAGTTCAATATGACGATTATTCCAGGCTTTGAGGCTAGGAGCGGCTTGATATTCATTAAAACTGATCACAGAAATTTAATGGTAAATGCTTGGTACACAACTTTCACTTTTTTATTAACATGTTTCTCATTTAACATCTACTCAATTTGTCTTAAAATCATTTGTCTTAAAATTTCGCTATCTTAAAGCAGTGCATCTTGGCGTAAGCATAGCTACTTAAATGTTTTTATAATTGGGTTGAGTGCACATTTTTAACAAGTTTGGTTTCAAATGCATTGTTATTTGTAATGGACCTTAAAAGCTACAGTATCTTGGAGCTCACTTAAACAGATCTCTCAGAAGTAAATGCACTGTAGCTTCAAGATTCAAGATACTTTTTAAAACAGAAATTTATTTGAAACCGAAAAAGTTCAAAATGTGCACTCAACCCAGTTTTAACATAAATTGCCATAATCACCATAATCGATCATATTTTACAGGTTTTATCTAATAGTAAAACAATTTTTAATGGCATTTTGGATTCGACTTAGGCAAGTTTAACTGTTTTTAAACCAAGCTTTCTTGGTACAGTAAATAATGTAATTCTAGAAATTTAAAGAATATTTATTTTTATAGTACCATATTTTTTTGTAAAACCAGTCAGTTGGTTGGCACTTTTCTCCTTACTGATCCATTACAAACATAAAACACATAAACAACTTAAAGTAGCTGTACTTTGAATTTAATAACCCTTCTTCCAATTGAAACATTTTTACTGGTAAATTTGCCCATATAAAGCCAGCTAAGCATGTGCAACATGAGGTATTGCCTCTTTTATGTGGAGTTCAATGGCTTCAAAACACAATACCTATAATCAAAGCCTAGGCCTGGACTGGAATGATGTTTATTTATTGAAAGAATTCTAGCCTGTGATACCTAGGCCTAATAAATGATTTTTAAAATTTTAAAAACACTAATTTTTTACTGGTTGGTCAGTTATTTTTATTGGTAAAATTGACGGCTAAAAAGGCTTCGGGGGAACACTGCCTTCGTAAATTCATATTAAAACTCAAGTTATACACAAAATACTGATTACCACCCTCTATTGTAATATATTTTAAAAGGATAATTTGATATTTAATACTTCTGAAAATAGGTTGTAAACAAATTAAAAATGTTGAATTTCATTCATGTTATTATTTATTTTTACAAATCATGGACATAGGATTGTGACAGGGGATATCCCTCCAAAAACCACCCCACCCCCAGCTTGGTCCTTCTCACCTCCAATTATCCATCCATCCTTTGCTAAATCCTAGAGCCACTGATCTTAGTGTTCTACAGTAGTTCTAGAAATCTCAGATACTGTATCTCACTTTTCTAAATCTAGAAAATTCAGATCTTTAAATTTAACAGGCCATACCATCATTTTTAGTGGGAACTTTTGACTGAAATAGGGGAGTTAATATGTACAAAAGGTTAAGTGAGTAGGCGTTATCTATCGAGCATAATTTTTTGATTTGAAATTTTTTCAATTTGGGAGAGGGGGTGGTGGGGGAGTGGGTCGACTGGGTCCCTCCCCTAGATACACCACTGCCTGAGGGTTCTGTGCTTTCGCTGCCCACATATTAATTTAGATCAATTTATTCTGGTTTATTATCTGGGTTTTCTATAGTTGTCTACAATTTTTAATTCATCAATACAGGAAAACCTTTTTTTTTTTCAAACTTTGGAAGTAAAAAAGTTGGGGGGTGGTGGGGGGGGGGCTTCTTTTCAAAATGAATGCTGTAAATTTTGTGAATTTGTACTTTGAAACAATAAATAAGGCCACTGTAACATTAATCTTTACCATTGAGTGTATTTAATTGGTATTAAATCACTTAAACTATTGTAGTATAAACCAAGCTTGTTTTTATTTTGTTTTTAAAAATTCATGTACAGTGTATGTACTGTACTATCTCGAAAAGAAGCTTATTATCTTGAAAAGAAGCCCATGGGCTTTTTATTGAGATGGGATTCTTTTAGAGGCTAAATTTGCAAACGAAAGAGGGGGTGGGGGAAGATTCCATTCAAGATGGGTTTCATCTTTAGATTAAAGCCCATTGGGCTTCAATTCAAAGTATTACAGTATTGAATTTGAAATGTACTCTTAGGTAAGGTGTGACTTTGTGTGGCCCAGGCTTCCTGGCTGATAAATTTGTATGCTTTTAAAATCTCTTCTTAGACTGGGTGGCTTTGGGTGACTGTCCAAGTATATACCTTCATGGTCCAAATAATTAATGCAGACCCTCTGCCTCTGTGGTACTTAGTCTTTATATGCTTTGTTATCAAGGTATCATTTCACAGTCAGAAACTTAAAATGAGAGGATTTATTACTCTGTAAACTAAAGTATCATTTTACTACAGTTTTAGATAAAAAAATTAAATATTTAATTCAGATCTGGGATTTTTGGCAGGGGCATGTCTAGCAGAGGGCCCAGTCATCCCCCGTTGAAAACTTCCTATTAATATGTTTTTTGGTTATATATACTGTACCAAGGCTTCCTTGAAAAGCAGTGCTAGTCAATGAATGGATACACCCTGGTTAAAGAAAGCTTAAATAAATAAATCTGAGATTTGCCACTTCCCTAAGATCAGGGTCTAGAGAAAAGTCCTGTAAACTCTGACAATTTCTGTATTATTTAACCCTTTGTACTTATAGCTACTGTACCTCAAAGTTTCAGTTAAGATTTACCTCTAAAATAATGGTATGATCTGTTATTTAAAGATACAATGAGTTTTCTAATTCTAGAAAACTCATTTATCTTGAGTTTTCTAGGCAACCAATTAGTTCCATATTATCAATTTTTGCACCCTCCCCCCACACAAAGCCAGACTTTGCTCCTGCAAAGATTGTATTTAAATGAGCTACTGTATATCTTCAGACCATCTACATTCAGAGCTATCTAAAGTTACAGCAGGGGTGGCTCACCAGTGGGAGGAGGAGCTCATCAGTGGAGTCTGGCCCCCCCCCACCCCCGATTGGGAAGGAAACTGCAATTCGTGTGTTTAGAAAAAAAAATTACATGTATTTTCTAGATATTAGTATCTATAAAATCGTTTAAATAAAGCCTTTGAAACCCCTAAATTAATAATAATTTTGAAAAGTAGTCCATGGAGCAAAGCCCATGAAAGGTACACTATTCTAATATTATTTACTTACCTCAGCCCTAACCATGGTGGGGCTGAGGTAAATGTGGGCCATTTTTAGAGATATTGGGCTTGTCATTGGGGAATTTCTGGCGCAGGCATTGTTTTCAACAAGCCTACTTCGTAGGCATACTGGAGTAGATTTAAACATTTTTTTTCAACAGTATAACACTTAAAGTGCTCTGATCTTAATAAAGTAGTGCTATATAAATGTTGCATTATTATTAATATTATTTTGCTCGGAAAAATTCTAGTTGGTTGGTTAGGATTGGAGAATCTGGGGTACGAGGTTTTTTATCCTGCACTCTTTCCCCTTATATGCTACCATATTCCCTCATTTATTCCTCTTATTTTTTAGAGCGGCATGTTGGTATAGTAGGCAACTGGATGTGACGCCTTAAGAAACATCATGTTCTGCTATGTGAGAAAGTGGATAACAACACAAGAATACCAGATGTTGGTAAGTGGAAAGATATTTCATTTTTTCAAATTAATAATAATAATATGTTAGACTTTTATATAGCGCTTAACGCCAACAAGCCTTTTAAGCGCTTCGCATTATTTCCCCGGTCATTGGATTAAACGCCTATGGAACACAAACTCCAGCTCCCTGGAGTATTTTTTGGCATTTAACACCACCACCAAATTACTCCTGTGTTGTGAGAAGCAATGCAGATAAAGTACCTTGCTCAAGGACACAAGTTAAATGCACAGTGAGGGATTAAAACCCTGACCTCAAGGTTGCGAAACCAAACTGTCCCAACTGCGCCAAACCACTACTTCCAATTATGATGTAGGCCTAGTATCGAGTGTTATTTTTTAGCTATGGTTAATTTGTGATTTGTATTGTAAAATTATATATTGCTGCATTTTCTTTGATATACATGTAGTGATTACTGTGATAGTGATTGTGTAATTTTCATAATTGTGGTGGCTTTAACTTCTCTATCCAAAACTAAAAAGAAAAAGAAATTATTGGTTGTCCAAATTGAGTTTATTATTATTATTATAAAAATTTCCCCTAAAGGTGGTATTGTCTCTGGATCTTGCCCTGATAATAATAAGTAATCTTCTGCAACACTAAAATATAATATTTTTTTCTTTGCTTTTTGTTCAATTAAATATTTTCATGTATTAATCCATTTTAGATTAAATTTTAATCCTATCCTTTTTCCATTCATGCAATATTACCATAAGTGATACACAATTTGAATCGTTAAACATTTACAATCTCATATCTGAGTTTGCAATGTCACAATGTGTAAATCACCATTCGGGAAAGTTCACTGTGAACTCACCAAGAAAGGTCTACACATTAACAAGCATTGCCTTGGGATATATTATAGTCAGGTTTTATCAAACTCGTGTTGGTGTTGAATTTATACAAAGTTATTAAATGTAGTATTTTTTTTAATGAATGAAAACATGTTATTTAGCAATTATTTAAAATGTAGTAAAAAAAATAAAATTCCAAATATTTGTTACTTAAATCTAATATTATATTTTAAAATTACAGATAGCTTGCTACAGTTAATTCATCTGCATATACAACCAGACCAGCAGCCCTCATTAGCAGGCAGAAAATGATGAATATTCATTGAAATCAACTTGAAACTGCAAAACTCAAGAAAACTGCAAAACTGACACCAAGTCCAGAACAACTTCTGAGAGGCATATATATCTTTCAGCGGGCCCAAGGGTGGTGGGTGGCGCGTAGGTTCCACGCGTGGCGATCGCCTATCATAGGCGATCGCTTCCGCTTGGATAATCCCAACTGTCTTATTGCGCGAAATGCTGCCGAAATTTTCAAAAAAAGTTTCGTTAACATTT